TTCCAAAAGAGATTGATTCCATGGTGTGTCCGCAAGCTTACCGTACATCTCAACTGGTACAGTTCCTCAACCCTCTTTTTCTGTTGGTCAGTTTAAAGCACAGAGCAACGTTTGGTCTTGGGACCAACATTTCTAAAACAAAATTTGCCTCTTTCTGGCAAATTATAGAGACATGGAGAGCCTGTTGCCCAGTGCAGTTAGTTCGCGGTACCCTTTCTGGTATGGTTGAAATTGGAGCTCTACCTTCAGTCAGTTTTCCTAGTCTCTCTGAGCATTTGATTTTACGCTCATGGCAATGATTTCAGTGGAGGTGGGAGTGAAGTTTGGATTGATTGATTTGGAGCTCATTTTCAGGCTGTTAAAGTTGACAATGTGAAGCGAGACTTCAAATCTAAAAAAAGGCCAATGTATTAGAGATCATTCGGACGAAGGTTTTACATGGTTGGCGTTAAAAATAGGTGACCCTGGATGAAAGATAATTCACCGAGAAAAACGCACAAGGGACAACCCGGAAAGTATCCGGTCTGTCTCATTGTCCAGATAAAGCCCCGAATCCAGTTGAGAGTCTTTTGTTCTGCCCCCCCCGTTCAAATGCACGAGACTTTCGGTGAGGTAGGCTATATCTTGTTTTATAATACGTTAAAGTACACAAACAGCAGGTGGATTGTTGGAGAGCGTTCAGCACCTTCACGGATCGCCGGGTCTCGGTTTTCAGTGGGGAATCCTGGATCGATTGTATAACCGAATAGATCGTAAAAGCTGTTTGTACAGTGAGTTGATAATTAATACCTGTACGGAATGGGTATCTGGAAGCGAGGAGTTTGGAAATACAGATTGAGAGACGAGACATAAAAGCGACAGATTGCCTGGTTTTGTTTTGTTTTTTTTCTGATTCTGAATAACTATTACTATTGTACGCATTACGTGGCGTGTATGATGAAACCAAAAGCGTCTAGGACTCGAACCTGAGACGTCCCGGCAACAGATCACATGAGACTGTAAATTTTAGACGGGTGGCAATGCCGAGACAATTGGAAATCATTTTTACATTATTACATGTAAAATGTACAAATGTTAGGTAGATTGACTTCGACAGTGGAAAAGATTGCTTGTTTGTGTCGTTTAGAAGCCGTCTTTTGATCTGGCATGAAACGTCAGTAACAGTGGAAACATGGCTGTATTATTTAAGTGTCCTGACGTATTTTGTTTTCTGTACCAGAAAAAGAAACATTATTTCACAAATACAACGTTTCTTCGTTTCAGATGAGTAATTGTTGAATCATGTTTAAATGCATCGTAAATTTACTGTGAACAAAAAAAATCAACATTTATGCACTAAAATTAATTAGCAACTTGTCTTACCTTCATGTGCCCAAGCTCAACTACTTGCGGATGATCGTCAGAAAAGTCGTTTACATAAAGGGATCCCTCCAAAGCGGTAGTGAACCCTGATTGGTAGAAGTGACCGAGCGATGTCTCCATCTCGGGTTCTGTGACCAAGGTTGGATCTGAATTTGAAAGTTTGTGGCAAAATTACAGTAAATGAAGCGTCGTTTTGTTAAAAAACAAAACACAAAAAAACAAGAAATCCTACGCATTAATTTCTAAAATAGAATGTTCGCTGGGACGTGTGATCTCGTCATCCTGAAGAATAATATTTAGATTCGCTTTTTAATAGTATGCTACTTCCTTTCATTCGTGACACACCGCGGGACCCGGGACATTGGCAGGTTGAAATGCTGATCGTCTCTGCTTTTCCGAAAACAGAAATTATTTTTCATTGTTGATTGGACATATTTGTCATATGAAGCCTTAAGTCTAATCTAGTCATGGCAAACATCATCCACTTTTAATTGTGAGTTAAAGCTTAATTAGCCTAAGTGCTGCCAAAGTTACCCCGTGGTTCGGGGCAACTTTGGCAGGTCGCTCGAGGTTAATGAAAAAACATTAAAAAAAAAAGGATTATAACATGAATTAGCTTATGAAAATTCCTTCAGGCCTAGTCCCCAGGTGTATTTTATGATAAAATTACTTTCATAGAATCATTTGAGAGAATTTTATAGCATTCTTATACAGGGCGTTTCAAAGATGTGACGACTACAACGAAGGGCTGTGCATGGCTGGTGCCAGTTACCCCGGTTTACGGTACCGTTTGTCTGCTTGTGTGTCGGCTAGCGCCTGTCCTTTTACTTGGTACAAATTACTACATGCTACTAATCCTCACTTTGTTGACCTTCAAGCCCTGTATGTGATTACTGGCGATCTTTTATGTCTTCTAAGAGCTCGCTGTCACTGTACCTAATCTGTTTCTCGTAGGGAATGAATAGCATTTTAAGGATTTCATCTGTTTACATTCCCACCTTGAATTTATTTCTTCCTTTTTCATCTTCGAAATGATCGACCGTCGCACCTCGTTAATAAAGGTTCGTTGGATGCGTAGATCTCCAACTTTTAATTATCGCAGCTCTAGGACTTCCAAGTTGTGCGATAATGCAAAATTTGTTTAAATATGGAATCCCACAAAGGAGTGCACACTTATTTTGAAATCAGTTGAAAGCAGTAGGAAAAGTACGGCAGTATAGTTAACAATAAACTGCAAGGAATGGTGGATACTTGGGATCAGAAAGAGAACCAAAATAATGGAAAAAATTCACTTCGAAATGATTCCCCCCCCTCTCTCTCTCTCTCCCTTGAGAAACTGATGAAACGTTGTACCTCATACAAAAATCGACCTTTTCTATAGTGCGTATGTTTGTGTGTGTTTTCTGTGTGATCAATGAACTTCTTGAACCCGTATGCAACGCGATGAAATGGTCTCATTGTGAGGTCGTTCATGCGTGGATGGAGAATATTGAAGTGTGCACGTTTGCCATGCTGATTGCACTAGCCACAACTGTAAAGTGACAACAGTAACAACTGGATAGCTGACTATTGCATAGATGATATCTTACGACAACTTCTGAAAGACATGAGACTTTGTATGGTCTGTCTTCACAGATGATAGAGCCAACAAATTGTGGATTGAGGGGTGGTAGGAGTAGTGTCATTCTTACGGGAAAAATTTCACGTGGTGAAAATGTAAACCAAACCTGTTCAAGACCTTGTGGCAATCATAACGTCCTATACAGACTACTGGCTTGTCAAATTTCGCTGCACTTTGATCGAATTGCACATCTGCACTTCTTCTGTTTAGATATGAAACATGACTGTATTGACACAAGCTGAGGAGAAGTCTTGGACTTGGGAAAGACAAAAATACTGAGCGTTTCCTTTGCCTTTGACGGTCGTCATGTTTAGAAGAAATAGGCTTGATAGTGAGAGGTTGTACTTACAACGTGGAGTGAGCCGCTTCCGATGGAGCGACTGTTTTGCACCTCGGATGTACTCTGGGTGAGAAAGGTCGATGGTCCGCTATCAGTTTAACTCCAGTCGCGCTGAGTGTGTCTCTATCCCAGGCCCCGGTGCTAATAAACGCTGAATTGTTCCATCAAGACTGAATCTTAGCGAGTACTCAGTACCAGGTCTGAGCTTAGCCTGGTTGCTTCCTAAACAAACTGTTCATGCCCAGCGTTCACTCGTAAAGGAATAGCATCAGGTTAGCAAATAGCACAGACCCGGAAATGCTCTGCTTTTTTTCCATCGAAAACCAGATTTTTGTTTTCTTTTTTCTCCAGTGCATTGCGGCGTCAAGTCCACATAGGACCAGGAAGGCTTAGCTAGTAAATCAATTTTGATTGGAGGGTGTCATGCCGTGTAAGAATAATCCACAGGTCCTGATTCGATAGTTTTCTCCCTGTGTGTTGCATCATCGTACCCGATTCGTCAGAGGGTATATCCCCTTTTGGATTCCATCCCAGGTCTTTTGTCAGAGATCATCTGAGTGTGACCACTTCGGTATTTTGGAAGTCAGCTGTTCCACGGCACAATGAGATCAGAGGGCATACCATTCTGAGTACGCATCGTGGAAAGAACTGGGGACTTTTTCCTTTTTAAATGGACCAAATGACATTATCTCCTCTTGGCCTTTCTAATTAGAAGTCATCGAGATATGGATTCCAAGCTTGACTTAAGCAATTTCTTTGTTGTGTTATTCAAGCTTTTTTATTAAGACTTTCGTTTCAGTGCGTGGAATTGATTAGATTGCTGAAACTGTTTTGCCGAGTTTAAGTTGTTCATTTTCCCCTGTCATTTGTGCATTTGCTGCTCTGTGGTGAAGAAAAAATGGTGAGCAGATGTTTTAAAGACTTGACTGGGTTATGGTAATTCTCTCAAGTGTTTGCTGTCTTCAATTAAGCACATGTGTAAAGATGACGGTTGTGATTCAACTGTCTAATAAAACGTTAAAGATTTGCGCGTGGATTCAAATGAAGGTATTGTGTTGTGTGGGCGATGCTTCGGTTATTTTATAATCATTCATTTTTAGAGACGCTTGAGCTTCCTTACATTGATATTTACTTCTTTCAAACCAAACAATACACAGATAATTTTCAATACCGGTATCCTAAACGTGTACAACTCATACGATTCTGTTGCTTGGTGTTCTTTTCCGCTTGTCAAAATTTTCTTAAGCTTCAATTTTTGCCAGCTGGCCTTTCGCCAATGAGTATTATCTCTCAATTGTATCGTTAACAACGATCAGGCGGTATGAGATCATGAAAATCTAGAAGTATCAGAATCATAAAACAAACAAATCTTCAAGATTAATTAACATAGTGTAAAATTTCACACCCATGAGGGGTGTTGGTGTCCTTTTGTTCATGCTGTTTCGCTTTGTAACATCTTTCCCGGTGTTTGATCCAAAAAATACCACAAGTCCTTCACGGGAGTGCTGAGCGAAACGTAGAGACTTCCAGATAGGGCCAAGACAGGAATTAGAACATTTAGTTGTTGGGAAGACGAGATTCGAACCTGGTTCTTGCTGGAAATGCACCAAGATTCTTGAAGCCGAGTTTATGGTGAGGCTTGAGTAGCGTGTATCTTGGAATGTCTCAGAAGGCTGGGTCCAATGGAAACCGTTAGAAATAGATTACATCTTGCGATATACGGGTTTCAAGCAGTTTTATTGATACAATTTAAATGGCAGACGAGTGTAAATGGCGGACTCTAGTTAGTTGACAGAGTACTGGTATATGACGGATTGTTGGGTTTGGAAGTTTCGATTTCATTATGGGTTGAGAAGTTGTGTCGAGGGGTAGATTCGACCCAGCCTTCTGCTATTGTGTGATGCTGGGTACCGTAGTTTTGGGTGACTTTCTTTGTATTTCCGATGTAGCGTTGCGAATCATGCGGAAATCTTTTCGCGATTTCGAAACTGCGCTTGATGCCCGAGATCTTCACCACAATACAAAAGATGTAAGGGTTGGGGAATTCTGTTACTTGACGAATGACCAATGGTGTGGATATATGCCTTCTGATAGTTGATTTTTTTTAGTTAAAGTGTTGTGTATAACTTGTTCTATAATAACAAGCGGCTCTGTGACGTGGATTTTGAATATGGTTCAGTGGTTTTGTTCGTCATAGTATCGAAAATTAACTGCATCTCAAGCACGCTATCCACATTTTCTGTGCATCAACTTCGAATTTCACTTTTTGCCTTTGTTCATCCGCGTTATAACACACTTAGTAACTTCTGAAAGTTGGACTTACTGTCTTGTCAAATTATTCTAATTTTTATGGTGTTGCCGTTTTCGTTTTCTTGATCTCGTGTATGCATGTGTCACTTTTTAATTATCTCTTTTTTCTATACAAAAACTGTGTAAGCCACCGTCCACCAAGTGGACAGTTTCGCTTGACGGAAAGGTGATCAGGGTATCAGCCGTACACCGTCGGGGTCGTCTTTGTTAACAATATGGCAAAATGGCCCCCGTAAAAACAAATTTCGTTCCTTCTGTCTAGGCAAACGATTACTTTGTCAGTCCGGATGTGTAGGTTTGTGAGTTTATTTTTCCACCCGTCTGTTTTCTGTGAACATCAGAATCCGCTTTCTGTTTTACGGTAAATCAGTAATCAAAATAAAGTCAATAACAGCAAAAATGGACCTTATTTCCCCAAACAAATGGATATTCACCTTTTTAAACTCCATTGCTCATGTTGCGCCGTTTTGGTTTTTAATTTTGGTTTTCAAAGCTTAGACAATGAAGTGCATGGTCTTACAGTATAACTTACAGACACAAGGGTCCGAAAACTCGACGAGTCGAAGTACAGAACAAGAAGGATGGTCGAAGGTTTGAAGCCAGCAGATAGCGACATGTTGTGACCTTGAGCATACTTGAATAGAATGAGTCAGAAGACGATATATTGCTGAGTCAATGATACAGATACCCAACCTGCCTCTCTTCCTTGCGGGTGTATAAAATAAGGGCAGTTATAACATTCTAATCATCGTTGTACTGACAAGTGCCGTTGTGACATGAAGGTGTCACTACGACCATGACGAGGACGGACCGACCACAACAGTTTTAAGGAGAGAGGGCGAGAGATCAGCGTCCTCTCGAATGGAAAGGAAGTGAGACAGGTGTTGCCCTTAAATCCCGGTCGCTCAGAGACCTTGCTTCAAAAGGTCTTCACGGAAAGATTATTAACAGGTACACTTGTTAAATTAGCCTGTAAAAGTCTCACAATTAGTTAATTGCTTCATCTACACTGCTAATATTTATACATATAATACAAGGGTTATTTCTTGTGGTGACCCTCTTGTTCCGTTCAGTAAAACTAAATCTGGTGAATAAATTTGTGGTTTGTGGCGCGCGTGCATTGAATGCTTTCCCAACACCATTGAAGTGTCATCTTTCTACATCTGTAGTGAGTTTCAAAAAATCATTTAGCTAGGAACATGCAATTTATTCGTAAGCCTTTTTTTGCTGTTTTTGGAAGTTTAATTTTGATGTTTTGTACTTTCCTGTGCTAATTTCTCACTGTCTGTTTTTTTCTTAATTACATGTGTGCCTTATATTTTTTTGTATTTTGTTTTTACTGCTGTGTACTGTTGGACTTTTCATTATTTGGCGAGTAATTCATATCTAATATTTATTAATTTGTAATTATTGTAATTGTCGGGCACCTGTGGAAAACATTGCTTTGACACTGACAGGTCTCCCCAGGGTAAAGAAGAAAGAAATAAACATTGCTGTCCCGGCCAACCGTGCGAGAGATTTTGTGGGTGGTCAAACTCAGCATTGCTACTGCGTCGATATGTATACGTGAGCATTTTCCGGCTTGCGCTTTGTTGTGCAAAGATCACCGATTTTTGAGCCATTTTGTTTTCGAAAATGTTGTTATGCTTCTAGAACAGTAAGTCTGATCGTCATTTCATTGGTCTCGAAGAGTTTTGGACGTCCAGAAAATGCAGTGGTTGCCACGCGAGACTAACTATCTTTGTTGAAAATCCAGTGTGGCAGGTTTGATTATTCTCAGTTAAGTACCCAATTTTTTTTTACATATTCTTCACCGACACACAAGGCGTAGATCCGAGTTATGACGATACTAAATCTCGTAGTGTATTCATGGCATCGTTGTGGGATCTAACCTTGCCCCATTGTTTGGCTCAATCAATTCAGTGAATGGTCAGAGTGCAGGTGGGTATATGAAGGGACTTCCCCGGGCTGGGATCGGTCCCGCTCTTGCGCCGTAATCCGTTGGTTTCGCTTTCCCGTGTACGGAAAGTACATGTACGTGAAGCGAATTAGCACACCACACAGACACGGGCGGGTGAAGGAATTGGGCTCATGCGCGCGGCGCGAACGCGCTGCATCTAGCTGTTGGACGAGACGGCCAAATCAACGGGGTGCGCGCGAAACATTTCACGGGGATAAAACCGATCACCCCTTCGGCACTTCGTGTCGGTTTCTGCAATTCAACTTTCTGTAGTTGATGACAAGAATTATACAATATTATGCCCAACGGCCATTCTTGTGTTTTGTTGTAGGTGGATGTGTTTACCTCCAAGGAGCAAAACTGAAACACCTACCCAAAGACGTCGCCGTTACGTTTACAGGTTGTATCATAGATATGCTTGAAGATTCATAAGTGCCAGAGAAAAAATCTATTACGAGAGAAGTTAGCCCTAGAAATGATGCGACTGCCCGCTAATAACACAGCATCAGATAACAGTCTTTCGATTGTTGTAAATTTCAGTAGCTGTTCGCAGTTTCATCTTTCGGAGTTTTGATGAGTACGTAGCGTGGATTTCCTTCATTTTTATGGTTTATTTACAACTTTCAGTTTGTATAATTAATATGTCCGATTGTTAGTGATCAATAACGACACCACATGGTCTATAAACACCCTAAAGTGTAAAATCAACACCACAACTTTTTCAGTGCATTATCTCCACCAGCTGGAAGTGAACACATAGAAGCTTTTCGTGGTAGCCGTCTTGCAGGGCAGTTGCTTTGTTCAACAGAAAAGCCTCCTATGTGCATAACCTATGGAACACTAAGCACTGGTCTGCAAGATGGCAGCCATGCAAACCCTCATGCTAACGCCGTGCATTGTCGTAGAAACGATATCGATCCTATGCTCAGAAAATGTTTCTACTAGATAATTTTCGACTGAATTCGACAAAGTGACAAGGTGTAAGTTGGAAAATGGTGCAATTAAAGAAATTGCCAGCCCTGAAACTTGCTTCATTGACCGTGGAAGTACATTTCTTGTTTAACAAAATGAAAAAAAGCGTCGGTTACAAAGTTTTGTCTGTGTTTGTTGTTTATAGACCCATGCATGGAGCTCTTCGGGGCAGTGAAGGGTTTGATGACGTTGCGGGGTTGATGACGTTGCGGGGTTGATTTGCCTAATCTTGCAAACAAGCCATCCTGATCTGCCTTAGGCATTTCAGGGCATGACCATATTTGGTATTCTTGACAAGCGCGAATCTCTAAAAGAAATTCAGCCTTTTGCAATCGGGGGCAAATCTAGGTACATTCCCTTCGCTCTGCATGTAGTGTGTATCTCATGTGTGCTTTGTTACCAGCGCTGTGTACATGTATGTTCCTTCCACGTTAACGCCGCCTATTTTGCATGACAAAAAATGGCCTACGAAAGTAATTTGTGTTTATGGAACGAGCACAGGAATATTTTCTGACAATATTTTGACGTTTCTTTGGGTTGCAGGTGAACATCCTGCTGATAGCTCTTGATGCGTTTTTAGTTGAGCCCGGGGCAGCCACGTGGCCAACTTTGGGCCTTGGGAAGGGGCATAGTACCTGCTAATTAGAGGGTGCATTGCCAGATCATAGATAATTTTGATGTTTGTGGTTTTTCTCGATGGCGGGCAGCTGTTTGCCAGGGTGCCCAGGCCCTCCGGGCATCCCTCTCCGCTCCCCGTATATAGCGACGGGCTAGGCCCAAGGCGGGGCCTAGCATGTCGTGAAGGCCTTGTATGCCTTAGAGTCTGTTTGGAATACGGCCTGTTTTGTCAAACTCTATCTTTGGGCCGGAGGGGGGGGGCGCTGTACTGGTGCCAGGTTGTGATAAAACGTTGGGCACTCAAAACTCTTTCTACGCAGGAAAGACAATCCGAGCCAAAACAAACTGCGAAGTCTTTCATCGCTGGTAGCTCCACGGCTCCACGCGTAACTATGCACATAACACACATAAAAACAACACAATCTTGTTATTCAACATAAATTCTCCTTTTTATTCTGGAAAATGCAAGCCGACACTAACTTCAGAAGTAAAAATTGCTTCATAAAACCTGCAATTTGTATATTTTGAAAGAAAAGGGGAAAATTCTGAGTCGGGTCCTGATGAAAACAATTCGTCGATCTTTCCACGAAGGAACGAATTTTTGATATCACTAGAAAAGATTTTTGGAGAAAATCGCGTTTGGAGTTGGTCTTTATTTCAAACGCTTATTTCCCCAGTATTCAGAATGCTCTTGACATAAGTAATGCTACTACATGATAGAGGGGATCCTAAATGACACAAAACCACCAAACAGTATTTATAGAAGTCAATTAAAATTGTTTATTTTGTAAACAAACCAATTCGTCTCTTCGTAAAAACGCTAAAATTCATGCGACTTTTGTCTATTCGTAAAAACGCGTGCTATTTTGCCCTAGTGCGTGCCAGGTGCAAAATTTTTACATTTGTGCACATTTCCATGGTAAACCTCGTCATTTCGTAAAAACGGTGAAACGGATATTGCCATGAATTTGCCTTTTATTTCTAACCCTATATCTATGGAAGAAAAGTTTGCCTCTTCGTGAAAACGCAAAATGCGGTTTAGTTTTAATTTGCTCCAGGTAGATCATTATGATTTGGCTGATTTCAATAGATTTGGGGAAAGTTATCATACCAAGTTGCAGGCATCGCATAGCTTATTTAATTTTGGGCAAAAAAGCAGAAATTTGAAGAAAATCAATGTTTTGGGCCAAAGTGTTTCTTCGTACACCTGAGGTGTATGGGTCAGTAACACCAAAGAGCTTTTCTACGCTCAGAAAAAAGTCCAGCAGTCTACCAAAATTTCAAGATTTGAGTATGTAAGAGTCGTTCTTTGACTCCAGTTAGCAATGTCTTTCTCTGGAGGGAGTAATATTTGTGATAATTGGTGTAGTTAAGATCTCCGATATGAAATGAAGCAACTCCCGATAGGGAAATTGTGAATATTGAGCCAGTTGAGTGCGACCCAGAATCGTTTAAATAAACATAGATTTTCTTACTCAAACGTCATTTTCAAAGCCTAATATTTCTGGACGGCTCGACTGAAAAAAAGAGAGAGTGCTTCCTTGTCTTTCTGCAAGTTTGTGGATAACCAATTTTTAAAATTTTACAGCGCTCTTTTGTTAAGGCTGGTTCTGAAAAGGAGGCGGAGCTTCGCGCTTCCACAGGCAACAAAAGAAGCGGGGTATATAGCGTCATGTGGTCGGGATGAGAATGGGGAAATCCCCGGACAGGAACGGGGCATGCGTAGTGACAGTGTGGACCCACTCCGGAAGCTCTGCGGCCTGATACTGTTTTCATAAACGTTATTGTTTAAAAATTGAATATTTTTGTGGAG